TGGGAGCGCCGGCCTCCCCCTTCCCCACGCGGGCAACGCTCAAGCCTTAAAGGGAAAGGACCCAGCTCCGATAACGGGACCAGCCCTTGTGTGACACCCCCAGACCTCTGCCACCCCAGCATGCAGGGTCACAACGGCCTCCACCCGCCCTGCCCGTGGTGCCGGCCCTGGAGGGGGAGGCAAGTCCCTTTTTTCGGAATATACTGTGCGGTTTTTCAAAGTTTTCAGTTTAACCCTTTCAGGCGCTTAAAGGGAAAGGACCCAGCTCCGATAACGGGACCAGCCCTTGTGTGACACCCCCAGACCTCTGCCACCCCAGCATGCAGGGTCACAACGGCCTCCACCCGCCCTGCCCGTGGTGCCGGCCCTGGAGGGGGAGGCAAGTCCCTTTTTTCGGAATATACTGTGCGGTTTTTCAAAGTTTTCAGTTTAACCCTTTCAGGCGGGGAACGGAGCAGGAAACGAAAAAGAAACTTTGAAAAAACGTGCAATATATTTACAAAAAAGCGGGACTTACCCGGCACCCTATGGGGCCAGCACCAAGCCCTGGCTTCAGGGACACGGGAGCCGGGGCCACGCCGGGACTGGAAAGAAGAAAACCGATGTCAGTGTCAGGGCACGGAACGGATCCCCCCGGGCTGCGGGAGGACGGAAATCCAACATCTGTCAGGGCTGCCGAAAGAAGCCAGCTCTGCGGTTCTCAAGTCAGATGACGTTCAAAGTGCTCCGCTTAGGAAGGAACAATCAGTTTCTCACACACAGAATGGGAATCGACTGTCTAGAAAGGAGCCCTGCAGACAGGGATCTGGGGGTCAGAGTGGACCACAAGCTACATAGGAGTCCACAGTGAGAGACTACTGCAAAAAAACCAAACATGATTCTGGGCGGCGTGAACAGGAGTGTGAGGAGCACGTCGTTCTCCCGCTCTACTCTGCGCTGATTAGGCTCAACTGGAGTAGTGCTGCCCAGAACTGGACACACATTTCAGGAAAGCTGTGGAGAAACTGGAAACGGCCAGAGAAGAGCCACAAAAATGATGAACGGTCTAGAGAACACGAGCTGCGAGGGAAGACGGAAAGAACTGGGCTTGTTTAGTCTGGAAAAGACAACAGAGAGGACATGATAGGAGCGTTCAAGGACTTAGTTATTTGGGCATTGGAAAAAGTTCAGGAAAGGGCAACAACAATGATTCGGAGCGTGGCCTTATGAGGAGAGATTAATAAAAGACAGGGACTTTTCAGCTTAGAAAAGTGGAGCTTAAGGGGGGCTAGGATAGAGTCTAAAACATCACGGCTGGTGTGGAGAAAGTGAAAGTTATGCACTTGCTCCAAGAACACAAGAACTAGGGGTCACCCAACGACATGGAGAGGTAGCAGGTTTAAAACAAACAAGAGAAAGTATTTTTTCCACACAATGTACAGCCAACCTGTGGAACTCCTCGCCAAAGGATGTTATGAAGGCCAGGACTTTATCAAAAAAAGCTAGATAAATTCATGGAGGAGAGGTCCATAAACAGTGTCCCTAGCCAGTTTGTCAAAAGCTGGGATGGGCGATGGGGAGGGATCGCTTAATGATTCCCTGCTCCGTTCATTCCTTCGAGGGCACCTGGCATTGGCCGCTGTCGGCAGACAGGACACTGGACTAGATGGATCTTTGATCTGACCCAGTCTGGCCGTTCTTGTGTTACATCTTAGCCCTCACGCAGGCGGACTATCAATCCCTGCGTTCGTGAACGCTGTAGCGCAGAGGCTGTGAAGGGGAGCACAGCTGATCTAACAGGCAATGCTTTGGCAGGAAGAGCCCAGCGAGGGCTCCCTCAGGCTGCAGAGAGACGCTGGTGGGCGGAAAGGGATTGTAGGAGAGTCACCCCCCTGCACTACTCTGTCCTGGGCACAAGAGCTTGGCGTTACAGACGGGCTCCAATTTGCAATCGATGCTGCCAGCGAAGGTGCCCGCCGTTTGATCAGAGGGCGCTCGGCCCCGGTCGGCCTGCTTCACCGCCCTGCCCCCAGCCTGGAGCGGGGCCCACCCACCTCCCGTGTTGGTGATGGTGACAGGCACTCCTTGCACTTGGACCCCGTTGATGTTGATCGTCTGCATGGCCTGGGCCGCGGCCGCCAGCTGAGCCGCGTTCAAGCTGATGATGCCCCCGGCCGGGGCGATCTTTGGCAGGGTGCGCTCTTTGCGGGGGGTGGGCTTTTTGCCCCTTCCCCCGGCTTGGGGGCTGCCGGACACAGGGCTGCTGCAGGAGGTGGTCGAAGGGGCCACGGTCACAGCCGGGGCTTCCTGGAGCAGCACGGTCTGGAGCTCCCCGGACGGGGTTTTGAAGTAGACCTGAAGGAAACGAGGCAGAGAATCAGATCCGCTGTCGCGCGGCGAGCACACAACGACGGCCCTGCACGACCCGCAGGCTTCGGCTCCAGGCCACCCCACGCCCATACCAGCCTGGCAGAACCGAATGCAGCCAACATACCCACAGCCAGCCCGCTAGAGGAGCCCTCTGCGCCCTCCCAGCACTGGGGCTGCCCTGCCTCCCTCCCCAGGGCCTCAGCCCTTCTCCTGGTAAGAGAGGTAAATAAACCCAGGGCCGTCCTCAGACGGCTGCGTAGGACTCCCGAAAATTTGGGGCACCGCTGGGACAGCAGGTAAGAGCAGGTCGGCTCTCCACACCCAGCGCTGCAGACTTAGGCCGGGGCCGTATTCAGAGCCAAATGGGCCAGCGCGGCACAGTCTGTGTGAGGGAGAAGTTATGGGGGTGTCTGTGGGGAACTGTAACTCTTCACCGCCGTGAGGCAGGCGGGCAGATTGGTATCCTTTGCCCCCCACCCCCAAAGTTGCGAGCCTGGGCTGGCGCCGCACCTGCTGCATGCAAGGCTCTGTGTTTTGCAGCAAGGGGGGGCGCACGCCAGTTTAATACAGCGCAGGGTCCTGAGTAAATCTTCCGCCCTTGGGACCCTTCCACCCCGGGACACATCAAGCCACCACGCTTGTGTAACGTGGAAATCTGGGCTGGCAATTTGCAGCCCAATAGGAGACGCTCCCCAGGCATTTCCAGACACAAGCCCCACCCACAAAGTGGCTCCTGGGGCATGCAGCCCCCTCCAGCCGGCTCTGTCTTTCTTGAGCCACCCCGGGTGCAGGCCGTGATGCTGGATGGAGCTCTCAGCCACAGAGGTGCCCACCAGAAAAGGCTGAGGGTGCGGTACCTGCGTAGGCGTCGGCTCAGCTGCCTGGATCTGAAAGTTCTGGGAGGACTTCTGGGGGACGGTGGGCAGCGTGGCTGAGGCCGCCTGGACCACTCGCAAGGCCTGCTGGGGGATCTGGACCACCTGCTGCTCTTGCTTGGGTTGCACCACTTGGACCTGCTGCACCACGGCCGGCTGGCCCGAGCCCGGACTCTGCACGATCAGCAAGTTATTTCCTGCCTGGATGATGTTCTCGGCCGTCGTCTCAATCAGCACCGTTTCCACCTGCTCAGCCACCGCCATGGCCGTCGTCTGGGCCGGCGACAGGGCTTTCTTCCTGCTCTTCTTACAGGGCTTGGCTGGGCTCTCGGTCCCACCAGGGGCTGGAGCGCCGGGGTCGGCGGTGGCGTTCACCAGGTTGTTCACAGGCAGGGTGAGCGTCAGGTTGCTGCCGCCGCTCAGCTTGACGACGTTGCTTGCGCCCTGCACGGACGCCGGCCCGGCCTTGTGCGCCGGGGCCGGCTTGATTGGCACAGGCTTGTGCGCGGAAGAGGAGGGGGTGATGATGGCTTGGTTGGTGCCGGGAATAATCTGGATCTGGTTGGCAAGGTTCTGTTGGACCTGGATGGCCTGGCCCCCCGCGGTCTGGTACTGGATGTTGGTGGACGAGCGGGCCCCTTTGTTGATCACGGTGGGGTTCTGGATGGCGAACACCAGCTGCCCCCCCGGATACGACGTCCCCAGCTGAGAGCCCTGGATCTGGAAGAGGTTCCCTTTCGAGGACAAGATCCCAAAGCTGTTCTTACTGGAGCCCAGGGGGACTGGCGCGGGTTTGATGGGGACCAGCTTGCGCGGCGTGGGCTGAGGCGGGGCAGGAGGAGTGACTGCAGCTTCCACCGCGGGCGGGCCGATTTTGCTACATGTGGCGGCGAGCAGGGCTAGTGGAGATGGCTGGGTGTCCTGGAGGAGACAGGGACGAGAGACGGGTTTGAGCTGAGATCAGTTCCGACGGGGTGTGAACACAAAGCGAGCGGCTAAGGTTTCTGGACAGCTGCCAGTGCCTTTGATCTCAAAGCATCTTACACATCCGTACCCCTCCCACCGCCGGCGGGGGCAGGCTGCTGTTACTGGACTCATTAAGCAAATGGGAAAAATGAGACAGGCAGAGGGGAAGGGACATCTCCAAGGCCACAAAGTGAGTCAGTGGCAGAACGGGGAAGAGAAACCAGGAGACCTGGCTTCCAGTCCCATGTTTTCCAAGCCGTCCATCCTGCCTTCCAAATCAACAGCCCCAAGCTCTGCAGCAGCGGTTTCCAAAGTACGGGTCGTGTCCCGGCACTGGGTCATCGCCCTGTAGGGCGACGAGAGGGGATGCTAAAGCAGGCTTCCTGCCTGTCCCGGCACCGTGGACCACGCGGCGTCCCAGAAGTGGCCAGCAGCCGGTCTGGCTCCCTGCACTGCCGAGCCCCACCCACAGAAGGGGCAGTGCCTTCGGGTGAGAGCAGCATACAGAACCGCTTGCGAGCCTCTGCCTAGGACCCAGACCTGCTGCCGGCCGCTTCCAGGACAGGCCGGAAACCTGCATTAGCACCCCCGCTGCACCGCTGACCGGGAGCCACCAGAGAGAAGCCCGTGCCCCAATCCCCTCACCCCATCCGGAGCCACCTCCTGCACCCCAAGCGCCTCAACCCCGGCCTGACCCTGGAGCCCACGCGCCAATCGAAAGATCTAATAATGCCGGGTCGTGGGGGACACGTTTTATTCAACGGGGTCGCGAGAAAAAGCGTTTGAAAACCGCTGCCCTCCAGGGGGCGCCGCAGGAGGCGCTGACCCCCCGAGGGCACCGCAGAGCAGCCCCCCCGCCCCCGCCCAGCACAGCCCACAGGCGGGAGCTCTCCGTGCCGCGGCCCCGGGCCAGGCCTCTCACCTGCGCGGCGGAGGCAGCAGGCTGCAGGTATTCACTAGGACTGACTGCTGCAGTGGCGGCCATGCTGTCCTCTTGGTCTGCAGGAAGGAAACACACGGAGGGAGGAGTGAGCCGAACGCTGGCAGCAAGGAGAGTCGCCCTCTCCATCTGCAGCCCGGCCCCCGGGGCTCCAGCCCTCCGAACGACTCTCGCCTTCCCAAGGCAGCCCCGCTGGCCTAACAGATGGCTGTTCCTGGCGGCAGGAAGTGGGGACATTCAAATGGCTGTAGATGACTAACTGTAACCACTGAACATTTCGGTGCGGGGTGGCAGCTGGTTCCCTGGGAGCCGGCTTTTAAGCTGGCTCCATGTGCGTACCGGCTCCCGCCTGCCGCCCCGGGTTGCTGCCTCTGTCTCAGTGGCAGCCATGCGGGGCGTCAGGCGGCTGACCAGGAACAGCGTGTAGCCATTTGGGTAACCGTTATGCTCACCCGGCAACCTTCACCACTCACTGCTGTTTGCCTGGGCTCAGCTTAGGGCCGAGAAGTCGACAACTTGCCCGCTCCTGTCCACGGGGCGTGTAATGGAGAAGCACAGGCGTGTGCATTAAGCACTATCAGCAGTAAGCTTTTCCCTGCCGACTAGCACACTGGAAACCTCCAGCGATTGCTGTCAGGCTCTGATGCTGCACAACAAGAATGCGGTCTCCAGTCTGAGCACTCAAATGGCTGTTACTGCAATAAGCACAGCTGAAAAGATTGCCTTTTTACAGGCTTAAATTGAACGAAGTCAGGGTAAGACCCTCCTAAATCCTCAGAGCTTGCAGAGTAGAAAGACGTTTCGTTCCTGATCTTTCCTGTGGCACATTCTCCCATCATCCTACCTAACGTACTTGGGACGACTCAGTAACGCTGTATCATCTACCCCTAGGAGAGCTTTTCTAGGCTCGATGTTACAGTCGCTGGCAGGGTAACCCGCTGAAAGGTGGTGTCATGGCACATGAGGAACACGGCTGTTCACAACCACGCTCCCATCTCAGACACACAAAGCCTTAATGGTCTGGCTTCCGCCGTCAGAAATGCTGTCGAGACCCTGGCCCCCACCAAAAGCTGCACCCGCCCGAGGAAAAAGAGGTGGGCTTTGCATCACTTGTAAGGTCCTAGTATGGACAAGGAAGTTTGTAAAACCAACCTGGCACTGTCAAGCCTAACCAATAGATCATGAGCTTTTGTGGATAAAACCCGCTTGATCAGAGGAGCTGGAGTGGGAATTACCCAATCCAGAGTCTATGTAACAGCCAAAGCAATTACCTGTCAATGGTAGGGCCAGTGTTAATGAAGCTAATTGAGTCAGGCTGGATGTGTCCCATTCACGTAGTTTCACTAGTGGTGAGACGAATTCAGGGAGGGCCTAAGATTTACCTCCACTAGCTAATACATGGAAAAGTCAGCCTACTCTGCCCCCACCCACCAAACCACCTTCCTTTCCTAGCCAAGACACAGCCTCCCCATGGGCAGAAGGCAAATGCTGAAGTGATCCGCCCACGACACAGAGAAGCCAAGTCTGAGCCAACAGGAAGGGGAAGTGTTTCGTTCCAGTTTGCTTCTCTTTGCTGCCTATTTACAACGAGAGGCGACGGGTTCTCACAGCGAAGCGTGGAATGATCACAGAACGGACAAACACGCTTTGTTCTCCACTTTGGCTACCAACCCCGGGGAGATACACGGTCTCCATGCACCCGGCACAGGCCAAGAGTCACAACAGTCAAATCAAGGATGCAGCACCCAACACCCTAGCCAGACGTGAGAAGACACCACAATGGAAGGGAAACAGAAAAGCAGGCTCTGTCTCTATCATAAGAGACACCCGGCACACAACCCTAAGTCTGCCTCAGCGGTGACAGGAGGGGAGGAAAGGAATACAGCACTGGCATGCCAGAGCGCGAACCCTGGGGTTATTTACCACCTGGTACAGAAGATCTGCCTACAGCTCTGGTGACTCAGACAAGCTGGATGGTTCTTGGCCAGTGCACAACAGTACTTTCTTCCACACTGCCTCTCGCGTACGGCAGGAGGCCTCTGTCACCATCCACAACCACGTCATTGACTTCTTCAAGCTCTCCTGGGCCAAGATCCTCTAAACAACTTGACAGCAGTTCAGCAGCTGGGATGCTAAGACCACGGCCCATCACGCTGATCAGCACTTATTGTTCTCATATGCGCCCGAGTCTGTCTGCAGCCACCTGCTGTCTCGTGTCCTATCTTTAGAGCAGAAGCTGTTTGGGGCAGGACTTCTTTCTGTTTTGTGTTTGTACAGTATCTAGCACCAAATAATGCTGAAATATATCTATTATGTATGTAGCTCTAACTGAATTGTATCAGCATTTCTCATAGCTGGGTCAATGGAGAGAAGTGGTGAATTAATATCTATTATTAATAATAAGTATCTAAACAAGGAGAAGGGAGAAAAATGTTTTCCTCAGCCTCTGAGGACAGGACAAGAAGCAATGGGCTTAAACTGCAGCAAAGGAGGTTTAGGATGGACATTGGTAAAAACTTCTGTCAGGGCAGTTAAACACTGGAATAAATTGCCTAGGGGGGTTGTGGAATCTCCATCACTGGAGATATTGAAGAGCAGGTTAGACAGACACCTGTCAGGGATGATCTAGATGGTGCTTCATCTTGCCATGAGGGCAGGGGACTGGATTTGATGACCTCTCAAGGTCCCTTCCAGTTCTAGGGTTCTGTGAATCAAATTAAGCAGCATGGCATGTTCTATTAGCTTACGGAGTAACTTAGGAATCAGTGTATGTCTACACTGTACCCCACACAGGCCAGCAGATGGTAATTCAGTTCAGGCCTAGGGGAGAGGCTGTTTGTATATTTCAGATGCAATTAAAATGCAGAACACTTAAGTGACCTCCCGTTTGCAGTTCTGACAGCCCTGCGCATTACGGACCGGTCTTTAAAACTATTGTCAGTGGGGACAGACACAACAACTCTTGCTGGGCAATGCCGAACCTTTCCCCAGACAGAGCAGCAAAGAAACCGAGGTAGCTGGCTCCAAGCCAAGTCACCACCAAGTCCACTTCCCGAAGGTTCAACCAAGTCTCCCAGAGAATCAGTATGAAAAGCCCAGAGTCTGGGACATCAGATGGAAATTATCTGCCCCAGTTCTCATAAAGGGGCATCCGTTCCCTTCAAGCCAGTCTCGCTCATTCACTGGGGCAACCTCTGAGACCAGAGCATCAGATGTCTGCGCTCCACTGAGAAAGAGAGACCTTCCTCCCAGAAAACCAGGGGCTTGAATTGCCACCCGCCCTAAGGAACTGCACCCTCCCATCCAGCAGAAGCAGGAACTGCTACGGATTAACTTCCTGGATGGCACACGAATAACATTAAGTCAGGCCAAAAAAAAAAAAAATCTGAAGCTCATTAGAGGCGGGGGGTCGTTAACCTTTATAAATCAATTAAGAGGATAAATGTGGAGAGAGAACGCGTCTTCCTACGTTTGCTGTTTGAACCCATGTTCATCTGACACCCAAACATTTCCCCCCCCGTGTCCCCCGGCGACGGTCTGACATTTTAAACAGGCAGCAGAGTACAAATCTGTTTACAGCACGGTAAGATCAACGGGCTTCCAGGAGCCCATGTCTCCTCCCAGTTCAGATTTGGGGACAGAGCCGTTATTTACTAGGGCAGATGTTTCCAAGCCTGTCGTCTTCTGGGCTACGGACCCTTGTGAGAGGTAGGAGACGGGTCTCCTTGGCAAACTATCACCCTGTGTCATCATCTAAGAGCAGTTGCTGTGACCTACCCACTAAGAACATAACGGCCAGACTGGCTCAGACCATAGGTCCATCCAGCCCAGTACCCCGTCTGCCGCCAGCGCCAGGTGCCCCAGAGGGAGGGAACCGAACAGGGAATGTTCAAGTGATCTCTCTCCTGCTGTCCATCTCCACCCTCTGACACACAGAGGCTGGGGACACCGCTCCCTACCCATCCCGGCTAATAGCCATTCATGGACTTAACCTCCATGAATATATCTAGTTCTCTTTTAAACCCTGTTATGGTCCTATAAGTCGCGGAATGACTCAGTCACGTTGCCCTTTTGATAACCCTCAACTACAGTCAAGTGCCAACTGGGAAAGAACGTTCCTTGAATATGTCAAAGGGTGCTCATTCATGACATTTCCACCCCTCTGTCCACTGGAGTCTGACTCTCCTTGCCACAGGCAGACTTGTGTGCAAAAAACAAGCACCCATCACGAGATAAGTCCAGTCTGAACCATGCATCTCCCACCATCAGATTGATGGTCTCCTGGTTCCTTGAGAGAACGATGAAACAAAAATACCTTGAGGACTGCTGGCTGAGGAGCTGTTTCTCTGAGAGATGTAAAACCCGGTTTAATCAGTTAACAGAGGAAACGTTAAGTGTAACCTGTTAACTCATTAAATGGGATCCCGGCCTGGGGACCACTCCAGCATGGATGGTGCAGCGTAGCTGCTGCACACCCACCCACCTCCTTCCCAGCCCCACATGGCAGGGGGGCCTGGTGGGGCTGTTCCCAGGCACCAGTTAACCATTACCCAGTAAGCATCACCCCCTGTAGACAATGCTTACCAGGTAACCAGTTACCCATTGACATCCCTACTTTCTTTTATCAAGTTAATTGAGCAAATACAATGGGGACTTGTTCCTGCCCCCAGATATACCAACAGGGACATCTGCACACTGGCTAACTGTCCAGATACAGACTCTTGAAGCATGCAAGCTGAGCAGTTCTCCAGACCTTCCTTAGCTTAGGAGGTATTTAAAAACTCCACAGGACTGCAATCTGAGCAATCAAGCTAGAGAACAAGAAGGAGAAAACTTACCAATCGCGCCAGCCAATGAGAACCCATTTCCAGCCAGTAGTAACGCCTGTTAGAAGCCAGCTGGAACATTCACACCAGCACGATTGGTAGGTTTTCTGAGAGGCGATTCCTTCACTTGTCACAAGACTTAATTGTTTGAAACTCTGCCATTATCTTCAACACTCTACAAGAGATATAAAGGGAAGAGCACGTTGGGTTTTTTCCCCCCTAATGATAATTAACCCCTTTCATTGAGGTTCTGCCATCAGGGAATTTTCCTTTCTATCTACAACTTCCTTCTCAGTAGAAAGAGCCTATGCAAATAAATACTCAGGACTACAGGTGGCAGAGTCCAATCTGGTCTACACAGGAAGTCTCCTGGGCGGATATGAAGACTATGCAAATGTAGAAGGTCCAGCTATCTATGGGACTTATTGCATTACTGTAGTATCCAAGTACCTCACAATCTTTCCTGTATTTATTCTCACAACACTTCTGTGAGGTAGGAAAGTATTGTCCCACTTTACAAATGGGAAACCGAGGCACAGATAAGCTTACCCAAGCTTGCAGGGAAGTCTGTGGTGAAGCAGGTCCCATGTTTCTCAATTCCTAAACTGCCCCCCCCCCCCAACCACTGACCTAACCATCCTTCTTACCCATATGGATCACATTGCATGGCTGGAGCTCACGTATGAAGACTACACCGGAAATAAAAAGCACAAAGGAACATTCACCTCACCAAAGGCAGCTTTTGTACAGCTGATCTCAATGAATCACAGAGTTAGGTAATGTGGCCCCATTCTTAGCGGGGACAGGGCCTAAAACAGACGATGTTCAAACGACTGAAAGTTGAGGACGGAAGCTTCCTCTTTTGCAGAGGACTAGAAATGTGTTTACTGCGAGCAAACAGCAGATTCAGGAAACTGAAAAATAATTATTAAAACCACAAGTCAGCTGGGGAGAAATTCATTTTATTTCTCAACCGGCATTCTGCACAACCGTTATTTATTATTTCTTTAGTGTCCACAAGATGCTTGGAGACTCTCACTCTTTACCAAGATGCACTTGGTAGCTGAGCAGAGCTCTGGTTCTATAGCGAAGAGGCACGCCAGGTAGACTGGGCCCAAAACGAAAGGCTAGCGGAGCACTTAGAACTGTGTGAAATGGTTAGCGAGCATTTACACTGAAGCACTTCCCTCGCAGCCCGGCAGTTGTGCTGCTGGAGCATTTTAAGTGTAGACACAGCCAAAAAGAAGTGACAGGAAAAGTATTTGTCCAGGGTATTTACTCTGTGGATTGACCAGCCCTTTGTGTTTAGATGGTTTCATCGTTACCCTGTAGAGCAATGGCTCTCAATCAGGGAAACATTCCTGGGGGTACACCAACTCATCGAGTTATTTGCTTAGTTTTATAACAGGCTACATGAGAAGTTCTAGCGAAGCCATTACAATCTAACAGGTCTTACAATGAGTTGTTCAGACTGCTCTATATACGATACACTGCAATGTACAGACCACTATTTATTCAAATTGATTTTATAATTATTTGGCAAAAATGAACACGCAATCAATTTTTCAGTACTAGTGAGCTGTGGCCCTTTTGTATTTTTATGTCAATCTGTAAACGAGCAGGTGTTTTTAAGCGAGGTGAAACCTGGCGTACTCAGACAAATCAGACTCTTGACAGGCGCACAGCTGTCTCAAAAAGTTGAGACTCACTAAGTACAAAGGAGAAACAAATGTTATGAATTTCAGGTCAAAGAGACCCATGCAATCATTTAGTCTGGCCCCCTGAACAACACAGGCCACAGAATTTCACCAAGCGGTTTCTGCATCAAACCACAACTTCTGGTTGAGCTAGACTGGCGCATACACTTGAGAAAGAAAATCCAATCCTGGTTTATTAGAAATCTGAAGTGACAAAGACTCAAATGCAGCCTTAGATAGGGCCTTCCAGTGGTTAATTCCCCTTCCTGTAAAACATATGCCTAATAAGTTATACATGATAAGGCCCTTATAAATACCTACCAGGGAACTGAAAATGTATATATACATTTTCCCCCCAGGAATTCAAAGGGTGTTCTCTAGCAAAAATGATTTTTTAAAATGTGTTTATTTCAACTAATCAGCACCCCCTTAAATACTCTTAAGTGCTTATCAGCGAGGCAAATTGTTTAAGATACAATGTTTAACCTGAGTGATTCCTCTAGCACCAAAACTTCAATGTGGTAGTTTGGAATTTCTTTATCAAGTCTGATTTTTTAACACCTTGCTTTTTCCCCCTCAAATAAAGTTTTTACTATCATCAAACGTGGTAGTTTGGAATTTCTTTATCAAGTCTGATTTTTTAACACCTTGCTTTTTCCCCTCAAAGAAAGTTTTCACTATCATCAAACATGCAACCGGCAGGCACATCAGGCTGCACTGAGACGACACAAGCCTTTTACTTTGCTATACATAAGTCTGCTCTACGGCTTTGTGCTCAATAGACTTTTTTACAGAAATCCCCCATCATAGTACTGTAACAGTGGGCGTACATGTGGCTACTGGTGTTTTCACAATATAGATGCCATGTTCTATAGGTGAATAGCTTCCAGACAGCGAGCACACATGCGCACACACACACCCCTCTCTCCATACGCAGACTTAACACAGACCCAACACAAAGATACTGTCTTGAGCTACTTGGTCCCACACTCTGGTCTCTAACTCTGTACTTCTCAGACTCCCTATCAAGACAGGAGGAGATATATGGAGGGTGCAGGAATTTTAACTGCTTGACGGTAAAAATGTGTTCGATGGAGCCCTTGGGACTCCAGCGGTATCAAGGAATGACACAGGGATCAGGCCCAACAAAGACTTCCATCAGCATCAGTCCTGCTGCACCCTGTGCCTCCCAAAGCAGGGGAGATGCTCCAGCACTATGCACCCAGGCACCAAGGATCCCTGAGGCCCCATGCACCCCTGCTGACTCCGCCAGTGTCATCCCATCCTACCCCATGTACAGCAGGGAAACACATTCCAGATCAATCCCCTCGGGCACCCTGCTTATCTCCTTCCCTGAGGTGCCTCACCATGCCCGTAGGTGCCATGAGCCCCGACACCCACCTCAGTGCACTTTGGACCATACAAACCCTGACCCCACTGTTCCTCTCCCTAGGAAAATGCAGTGAGGACAATGCAAACCGCCGCACCCCCGGCCAATCCCAATGTCCCCAATGCACGAGGGGCCACGCAAATCTCCCTAATCCCTGCCGATCACTAGTGCCTCCCAATGCCCAGCCCAATGCACCAAGGGGGGAGGGCATGCAAACCTCCCTGCCCCCCTAGTGCCTGGTGCCCCCATGCACAGAGGGGGGGGCTATGCAAATCTCCCTGCCCCCCCGTGCCTGGTGCCCCCATGCTGGGGGGGGGCTATGCAAATCTCCCTGCCCCCCCCGTGCCTGCTGCCCCCATGCACAGGGGGGGGGGCTATGCAAATC